TTATTTCCCTCTTTTATTTTTTTTCTGCTTCCCCTATCTTCCCCAAATCTCCATTTCTATTACTCACAAACTGTAGATAAATAAACACTCCGTAAATGTATTAAAAAAAAAAGACACTCCGTAGGTTTTTTTTTTTTTTTTAAATACTGTTGACTATATTACAATGTAATATCTGTTCATAACTATTTTTTTCAACCTATTGAAACACAGAAAGTCTGTATAACTTCAGTGGAGGTTCAAACACATAACCTCCCATAACTTGATGTCAGTAGATCACAAGATTCAACCTCCCGTAAATATATTTTTCCTTTCAATCCTTTGTGTGAAAATTGATTAAGGCGTGCACGCCACGACGATACCTGGGAAATTAGGGAACGATGTTGAACTGACGAGACGTTTGGTTGGAAGGAAGGAATTGTAATTCGGTGGGAAAAAAATAAGGTGTGAATAAAGTAAGAATTCAAATTACGTTGTTTGGTAGGGAGAAATAGAATTATTAAAATTGAGAAGGAAATAAGTGTTATAAATACTAAAATACCCATGTGTAATAATAGTAATAACAACCAAGATTAGTAATGTCATTTTATATGTTTTTCTTTTCTCAAATTCATTGAATTGCAATTCATGGGATACCAAACAATATAATTGAGGCATCAACTGAATTGCAATTCAATTACAACTAAATTACAATTAACCAAACGTCCCGGGATTTTAATTTTAATTTTTTTTAATTTTTTTTATAACCCTGGTTTAATAAAAGGGATTTGGGCGTCATTGGGTTTGGGTTCGGGTTCGATCATACATTTCCCTTCTCTCCCCCTCTCTCTTCCTCACTCCGTGCTCCCTGCGTCATTCCTCTATAGAAACCGATACATATATGCGCACCATCTCCTCTCCTTCCCTCTCTCTTTCTCTCTCCCTCCCATATATACGTATATATTTATATATAGATATAACTTATATGCATACGTGTTTGTCAGTTTGTCAGTTTGTCGTCCTTTTGGAACAATTCACAGATCGGTGCTCTCGCGGATCCGGTTAATTTCCCTCTTCTCTCTGTGGTAAGATATCCTTGTAGTCTCGTGTTTATGTATTATCCGTGGTTGTATTTTTTTTTTTTTTTATGGCATTTGAAACTTTGAATTTTAGGGTTTGGACAACCTCAGGTGATCGTATTCGAATTGTGTCTGGAGAGTTTAGGTGTTTTTTGTGCTCAAAGAAGTTTGATATTGTCGCATCCGTAAAAGTAGTCTTCGTGTGTTTAGGCATTTGGTAACAGGTAGTCAGTACTGCCTTCTTCCTTTATTATCCAGTGGTATTAGTACACTTATTTTTGAGCTGCAGTTAGGAGAGGGCTAGTATTGCCATGAATTTGAGAATTCTCTCCATTATGCATTGTTATATGCAATTGGAGTTTTCACCTTGTTATGTAGTCATCAATGTAGACTTGGGAGTGTATTTGAAATTTATATGACTTGTGTGAATCTTTATGCATACTTCAATTTTAAGGTTTGCTATGTTTTTACATCCATCACATCATGTCATGTGGGTTTGTTAATGAGGTTTGTCATAAGATGATTTGTTGTGTGGTGTTTGGAGTGAAGTTTGTTGGAGGAATGCACTATTTTAAGAGTTTGAAGGTGAACTTAGCTAGCTTACTAGAAATAGAGTAACTTATGCAATCATTCATCATAAATTATAGCGGGTTTAACAAATTGAGTGTCTGTTGTGAATTATATGCTCAGAGGCTTTGTCTGAATGCTCGGGCTGAGCATTATTTGAATGTATGGTCATAATTTGAACATTTTAGCTATTGTGTATGAAGTGTGATCATGTGCATTTGTGGAACAGGTAGTACTCATCAACATACAAACACTCAAGAATTTATATGCATCTGGTATTTCTGCATTTGCAGCATACTTGTAGTGTTAGAACTTAGAAACATGGTAAACCAATGATAAGTTTCATATTTGTTTCCCTAAAACAAGGAGAGTGAAATGCTGACATGTCTTTACTTGAAAAATGGAAAGCAAATAGTGTGTTGATATATTGATGATCTTTGGTACTTGAGCCAGTTTCATTAGACACTTATATGATCTATTTAGTCATTCTGGCACTTAGCTTGATAACGCTGTGAACTGCTTTGCTTAATTTCTTCTTGCTCTACTGACTTTGATTACTTTTACTGCTTACTACCACTGTGACAAGCGGTTTTAACTGTTTTTTCTTATTGAGATATAGGTTTTAATAACTTATACATTTGGAAACTGGTGAAATAGAGTCAGGCTTTCTAATGCGTGTTAATTGAAGTGTGAGACAGACTTTATACTGTTACAACTAAATTACAATTGAGCATTAAAAAAGGAAACTATTTGGACACATTGATAAAGTAGTAGTAGTAGACCGTAGTATCGTTTGTTTGTTTTTTTTTTTTAATAAGATAAATTGTAGTATGTTGTGATTCTTTACTAGTATTTTTTTGTGATATTAACTTAGTGTGTAAAGTGTGTTCATATGATTCTATGGAGCTATTGGTTGTACTTTTTGCTTATCAGATATGTTTTCACACTTTAAAAAGTGAGAAATTAGAAGTTTGTACATGAAGTGAGAGGTGAGCTAGTTGACCAGGTTAGGCTTTGCATAAGCTGTGTTCAAAATGAGCTCAAGTGAGATCAAACATTATCTAGTTCTAATCTCCATATTTCAGATACTTGGTAGTGGGATTAGATCTTTTACATATTTTTCTTTGCCATCGGAGAATATTTTCCTTTTACTTCACATAGGATCATTATTGAGAGGCCTTACTAGTTTGTTGAGGATTGTTCTCAAGTGTATTTGAAAAAATGTTTGCTTGCAATTTCTTTGGCAGAATTTCTTTATTTTTCTCTAGATGAGTTGCTGCGTTTATAGTCTCTTTCATGTGATTGTATTTTAATCATGTTTCAAATTTGCAGGATTTAAGGTTGTAGTTTGGGTGACATTAGATCTATATATTAACAATGACTTCAAGTATGTTAACTGGGGAGCGAAGGTAATAATAATTCTTGTTCTGAATCTCTGTCATTCATTTTACTTTTCAAGTGCAAATGAGAACTCTTCCTGTTCATTTTACTGTTTTCTGAACCTTTCCTGGTGTAACATGATGTGGATTCTTGCCAATGTAGTTTTGGGCTTTAATACCTCAAAATTTATGTTGACAAAGAGATGTAATTGATTTTCTAGCTGTGGAAAATGAGACAAATCTGAAATATGGAAAATCATGAAGGTGAGAAGGTCATATATTCTGAGTCTGGAATGAGATTTTAGAATTTCCTTGTAGCTATTCCAGTAAATGAGCATATAGGCTAAGGGCTTGTTTGGTAAATGGTGGTTTGCCACTTTGGCATTTTGACCTTGGTCAAAATGCCAAAGAAGATTTTTGGTTACTCAACGGTTTGCTCCAAACCGCTGAAAACTAAAACGCTGCTGCCCCTCAATAATACTTGCCTATCAATGGATGTGCATGCAAATTTAAGGAGCCTGTTAGGAGCCTCAAGGCTCCAAACAATCCGACATTTCCCACGGATGTGGGAAAAGCTGGAAAACAAAGGGCTCCCCTTATTATTATTGTTGTTGTTTTTTAATGAAATATATGTATACCCTTATAGGTCATCTTACATGTTAACTACTATCCTAAACAACTAATTTTACCAAACATCTTTTTATAAATTGCTGATACAATCCGCTGGTCAAAACCGTTGACACAATCCGCTATCCGCTAACGCCAATTGCCAAACAAGGCCTAAATATTAAATTACTTTACTTTCATTCATCATGAGCTCTAGTTTTATCACCAATGACATTTCTTTTTTATGGATAACAATATGAGAAAATGATAAACATTTGAGCAAGACTAATAAGGCACTAATTCAAGATGAAAAGAAAGTAACCAATCAATCAATCATCATATTTGCATGTCATAAATGGTGCAGAATTCATGGGATTGGAGCAGAAAATTAGGGGAAAACAAATCACACGAATTATGCTATTTACTTATTTATTCATTGTATTAGTTGGGTGTTTGACAATTGGCTATTGGCTGTTAGCTGATAGCTTATTGTGTTTGTTGGTTTGACTAGCTGATAGTATTAGCTGGTTATAGAAATGTGTTTGGTAAATTAGTTGTTTACTCTTAGCTGATTACATGTAAAATGATATATAACGGCATAAGTATATTGTGTTATTTACTTAACTCTTAATTAAACCCTGAACCCGCCATCCCCTTGTGGTCTGATGGCACCCGGGTTGGACCTTCAAATGGAAGGTCTCAGGATCGACTCTCATCCCGTGCATGGTACAGAATAATTTGTTGAAAAAAGGGTCCAGGAAGGACTAGGTGACCTTGGAACCAAGTGGGGTCTAGAACTGGGGAACCAGGGTCTAGGTGGAACAACGTGGAGCTAAGTGGAGCCAGGAACAAGGAAACCAGGGTCTAGGTGCAACGATGTGGAACCAAATAGAACCAGGAACACGGAAACCAAGGGTCGGTGGAACCAAATAGAACCAGGAACATGGAAACCAAGGGTCTAGGTGCTACAAGGTGGAACAAAGTGGGGTCTAGGTGCAATGATGTGGAACCAAGTAGAACCAGGGAAACCAAGGGTCTAGGTGCTACAAGGTGGAACAAAATGGGGTCAGGAACTGGGGCAAACTTTTTAAATGGGGTCAGGAACTGGGGCAAACTTTTTAAAGCGGAAAAGCGCACTAAAGCGACAAGCCCGGGCTTTGCTTTAAAGCGAAAGCGCAAAGCGAAGCGTCGCTTTTTTGAAAAAGCGACGCTTTAAATATATATAAATTATATATATATATATAGTCAAAAAATTCAAATAATTATGCAAAATATCATCCAAAATAACTCCTAAAGTGATAAAGTCACAACATCATAATAATACAAATATCATAAAGTCACAACATCATAAAGTCACAACACAATCATTCATAGTCCATAGACTCATAGTCATTCAATCCTCCAGATCAAACTCATCTTCTTCTTCACACAAATCCAAATTGTCAAATTCCATAACTCCATCTTCCTCACATGCTTCTTCCTCATCTTCATCTTCATTTTCCTTTTCTTTTCCCTTAGACCTTGAAGTTGAACTCCCAACCTTTTCTTTTCCTTTTGAAGCATGCCTAAGAGAATAAAGAGTTTCATTTGCACCTGAAAATTTAGCAATTTCACCCAAGTCAAGCTATCCCCATCACCAAACACCAACTCCTCATTTGCATCCTCCGGGATACCTGTCAACCATTCATTGGCAAAATCAATTTGATCCAAACAAATTGGATCAATGGTATCCCGCATTTCCCATCGTCGCCTCAATGCCCTATTATACTTAATGAAAACCAAATCATTAAGGCGCTTGTGTTCAAGGCGACTCCTCCTTTTCGAATGCAATTGGAATATTTAAAATGAATTAGTGCATGAATATGATATAATTGCAAATTACTTCTAAATTGACTAACTTACATGCTCAAAGACACTCCAGTTCCGTTCACATCCAGACGCACTAGTTGTGAGACTAAGAAGCTTAATTGCGAATTCTTTTAAATTGGGAGTTGAACCCCCAAAAGAAGTCCACCAATTAACTGTAAAATTTGAAAATTATTCAAAATTTGATTATAAATAAAAATTGTAAGTTAAATCGTTAATCGTCTAAGAAGTAAGAACCTGGAGTTCTAGAACCACGTTGCTTCTTGGCAACTGGCAAGCCAAATAAACCCTCGCCAACTTCCCACATAGATACTTCCTCGGTAATTTTTTCCTGCAGATCTAGATCTGGAACCAACCTCTCCAAACAAGAATAAAAGCCAGCAACAACTTCTGGCGAATGAATTGAAGGAGAAACCTTTTGCTCACCCCTATACCGGAAGTAATCTGGATTCAAATAATACACAGCTGCATGCAATGGTTGACGAAGCTGGGAAGTCCACCTTTTGTCTATGATCTCAAATACCTTCTTTTACTTGCTTGTGTTGTCGAAAGCTTTTTCAATTGCTTTCTTTGTGATCTCCATCGTAGGATAAATATAGCCCATTGATGGCTTAACATCCCCATCAACTAATCGAAGAGTGCTAATCAATGGACCGCCTATTTTAAGTGCTTCTAGAATTGTATTCCAAAAGTTTGGCATTTGCACAATTCTAGAACACTCTTTTCCTGCCTCTTCTTTGAAGTAAGAGCTAGTGAGGAATTCTTCTGAGTTGAACAATTTTCTCAAATTGTTTTTCTGCTCGTGAAGCCTCTTGAATGTCAAGAATGCTGTAGCAAATCGAGTCTTAGCAAACTTGACCAAGTCACGCTTCCCAGTATACTTCCTCAACCAATTCAAAAGCTTTGTCTTCGAATGGATATACACTGACAATTTCAAAGCCCGCTTGTACGCCATTGAAAAATGACGAATCTCAAAGATGTCTTTAAACATTAAATTGATGCAATGGACAGCGCAGGGCGTCCAGTACAATGTCGGGTACAACTCCATTAAATCATTGCCTAAATTATGTAAAGAATTAATAGGTTAAAAAATTTAAAATTTACAAATCTTAAATTCTTATATAAAAAATCAAATATTTTAAACATACCAGCTCTCACATTCTCTGAAGCATTGTCAGATATAACTTGCACAACTTTGTCCTTCCCCACTTGATTGACAAAAGTTTCAAAGAGCTCAAGCATTTTCTTAGCATCCACCGTATCCGTGCTAACATCTACCGACTGGAGGAAATACGATCCTAGTGAACAATTAACTAGGATATTTATAAATACACGACCTCTCCTATCTGTCCACTTGTCCATCATCAAAGAACAACCATATACATCGCATGTCTCCTGATGTGGCTTGAACAACTCCTTAACATGCTCAACCTCCTTCTTAATGCGCGAGTAGGGAGAGAAGCGGCGGTCGCGGAGAGAACCAGAGAAAAATGCGGCGATGAGGGTTTTTGATTTGTCTCCAGTCGCGAATCGCAATTTAGCTTAGAGTTTTTTTTTTTTCTTCCTTATGACCGTTGACTGCGCTTAACGTGACAAAGCAGGGCTTTTTGCACTTTTGCGCTTCACCGCTTTCCGCAAAAAGCGAGCTTAAGCGCTCGCAATCTCATTTTGCTACGCCTCGCCAAAGCGAGGCAACAAGCTGTCGCGCGCGTCGCTTTTGCGCTTTAAGCGCACAAGCGACCGCTTTTCACAAGTTTGAACTGGGGAACCAGGATCTAGGTGCAGCAAGGTGGAAACAGGAACCCAGAAAAAAAAAACAAAACAAAACAACGCTGAACCCCTAAACACTAAACAGAATTTCCAGTCCAGAAGTGTTACACTTGGTCTAATTTAATATTCAATTAAATCCACTCCTGCCTGTCGTGACCCTTCTAAATATAAGTCCAATATGGTTCCAGAATCAAACCTCTTACCAAAATTAAGCCATATTCAGCGCATTTACTGCCATAATATTGACCCAAGAACAACTCCAAAACCTATCAAATTTTGGAATGCCAAAGTTCTCATATTTCTTCACAATTTCGTACAGCCACAAGTTGCAAATCCACGCAGTATAAAACAAGCAACCCGCAACTCAATATTAAAGCATCATCTAGGGATAATGTAGCAGTAACCCTCCACTAATATAATTCGATATTATAACACCCAAATATGTGAAAATGTTATTTAATTTTATTTTATATACACCATAGTTTCATTAAAACACAACTACATGATAATTTCGATATAACTACAGCTTCATTACACAATATACACTCAAAAATGTGAAATGTTATTCAGTTTCATTTTATATACATTGTAGTTTCATTTCAACACACCTACATTTTCATTTGAATTCAATTACACTATTACAGTTTAATTTGATAATATAAAAACAATATGTGAGACAATTTCATTTTAGATACAATGTAGTTTCATTTTGTAATTAACACACCAAAAATACGGGCTCCGTTAAACTGTAACAACAACCGTTTCTTTATTTAAAGAAACGACGCCGTTTTTAGACCATGATCAACACAGCTTTGTAGACCATGGCCCACGATATAATTACTGCCTAGCTTATATAGTCATTTAAAAAAAAATTATTTTTCTATTTCTCTGACGGCTAAGCCGAGTTGCCCACTATCCACTTAATATTTAGCCCATATTCCTCATTTTTTATTTCTTAAAAAAAAAAAACTAATGCATTTTTAAATTTAATTTAGCATAGCACCATAGCGGGCTTTCAAGTCTCATCTCACTCCACAGCCACAGGTACGTGTTTCCTCATCTTTCATCTGATGTATCTGCTATGCGTGTATCTCTACGTATATATACTGGAATCGACACCTTTGGATGGTGCACGAGCTCACTTGAATTTGTTTGGCCATCTAGTTTGCGGGTGGTGAGTGGATATTGCTTTCTGCAATGCCAGTAAGGTGTTTGATGAATTGTTTGTGAGATTTTCAATTGTATAGGTGCGAGTGGATGTCTCCTTCTTTGCCTAATTTCAACAAGTTGTTGACGAGTTAATTGAACAATGCTGGTTAAACTTGCGTTTTGGAGTTACATTTCCACTTCCGGCTTCTCTTCGTTGGCAGCTACGAATTTGCTTAAATGCGGGGATGTTTTGAAGCAAGCTCGGGTGTTTACGGAAGCAGATGTTGTTGAATACTCGAAGCTGAGCCATGATACCAACCCCTTGCATTTTGACTCAGAATGTGCCAAGCTTGCCGGATTCAGTGACAGGCTTGTTCCTGGAATGCTGGTCGCTTCCTTATTCCCAAGAACCATCGCTTCAAATTTTGTAAGTCCGACTCATCAATTTTTTATACTTTTATCAAGTCATTTTGTTTAAGCCTCATTTCTCTTTTGGTGTTTTGGAAATACTTGTAGCCGGGAGCTGTATATGTTTCGCAAACGTTGCAGTTCAAGTTGCCGGTGTACATTGGAGAGGAGATAGTTGGTGAAATATGTGCAACAAATATCAAGGATCTAAAAGCAAAACATGTGTAGGTTGCCCTGGTTGAATCCTCCCTAATTTCATGTATTTTCATCTAGATTCCATGTTCCTTCTTCTCCAAGCTCTTCAATTCGTTTTGATTGTCAGGGTCAAATTTTCCACCAAATGCTTCAAACGTGATGGCGCGCTTGTTATTGATGGCTAGGCCACAGCCATCCTGCGGAGTCTGAACAAAGAACCAGCTCGGTGGTCGAGCTGAAGAACAAAAAATTATTCCCTGTTTAATGGTCAAAATGCATGATTTTGGTGTACTCGATTGCTGCGTGCAGAACAACACAAAGTTCTTCCCTGTTTAATGGTCGAAATGCATGCTTTTCCAGTAACCAGTTTTTGTTGAGCAAAGCAGGAATTAGAATTATGGACTGAATTTTGACAAACAAAATAAATTGACTTTATTGCTAATTCTACAGTCAACAACTCAAAACTATGAAGAACCGAAGGATGTTTAAGTGTTTAACTCTGACTGACATACACCATCTTCTCTACCAAAGCTAACATTTGTGTGCAAGACAACGATGTGGCTAAAAATTCTCAAATCAACAACTCAACACATAGCAATCTTTACCCCCAAAAAAGAGCACAGTTTTATAATCAAAGACCCAACTACCCCAAAAAATAATTGCTGAGATCATTCATCTCACACGGTGAGCCCTTGTGGAGCTGCGGGCGCAAGTGCCTTAGGTTTTGGCTTCTCCACAACAATGGCTTGGGTGGTGAGCACCATTCCTGCTACTGATGCAGAGTTCTGCAGACAGCATCTTGTCACCTTGGCTAGATCAATAACTCCGGCTTCAACGAGGTTATCGTAACTGTCAGTCATTGCATTGTAGCCAGTCTCCCATTCACTGTCCTTCAGCTTCTCCACAACTACCTCACCCTGAACCCTAAACCCTAAACTTTGAATCCCTGAACCCAAAACCCTAAACACAATTTCCAGTCCAGAAGTGTTACACTTTGGTCTAATTTAATATTCAATTAAATCCACTCCAACCTGTTGTGACGCTTCTAAATATAAGTCCAGTCTGGTTCCAGAATCAAACCTCTTACCAAAATTAAGCCATATTCAGCGCCTTTACTGCCATAATATTGACCCAAGAACAACTCCAAAACATATCAAATTCTGAAATACCAAAATTCTCCTATTTCTTCACAATTCCATAAAGCCACAACCTGCAAATCCACCCAGTATAAAACAAGCAACCAGCAGCTCAATATTAAAGCATCATCTAGGAGTAATGCAGCAGCAACCCTCCACTAATATAATTCGATATTATAACACCAATATGTGAAAATGTTATTTAATTTTATTTTATATACACCATAGTTTCATTAAAACACAATTACATAATAATTTCGATATAACTACAGCTTCATTACACAATATACACTCAAAAATGTGAAATGTTATTCAGTTTCATTTTATATACATTGTAGTTTCATTTCAACACACCTACATTTTCATTTGAATTCAATTACACTATTACAGTTTAATTTGATAATATAAAAATAATATGTGAGACAATTTCATTTTAGATACAATGTAGTTTCATTTTGTAATTAACACACCAAAAATACGGGCTCCGTTAAACTGTAACTGTGACAACCCAAAATCTAATTTTATAAATCCGGTTTTAAGAAAATCCAAAATAGTCAATTTTCACTCCAAGATTTGATTTAATTTCGATATCCTAAATTTCCGGGTACATTGCGTGCCAAGTTTTGAACCGAGAAATCTATCTGAGTGAAATCGGGAGAATTCTGAGAAGCCTAAATCAAATACCTGTCTAGAAATCATTTTGGTAAAATTCCATTTTCAACCCCAAACTATTTTAATTAGCAATTAGAGCCAATGGGGTGCATGTCAACATTGTCAATTCTTTGGAAAATGGTCCTACCGTTTTAGAGTCCAAGTGATTATATTTATGATCAATAACTTTGTAGTAAGGTCGCGCAGGTCTGACAATGATGTAAGAACAGTTTTGTCTAATAAAAAAATAATAGTATAATATTTGTAAAATAATGTACAATTGTACCATTATAAGAATGCATACAAAAAATATTAATACCATAACGACCTAAATCATACCAATAATGCAAAAATATAATTGAAATATTAAGTTTTGTTCTGATCTAAAAAATCAAAAGAATATTAATTAAACGAAAAAAAATTAACCTATTTTTTTAAATGCATAAAAATCAAATGATTTTTAAAGTTATTGATTTATAATCTTTGATACTTAATTTTGAATGTTATTTATTTAGTCGGACTAATTATTTGACAAAAGTTTATGTTAAATTTTATATTATATATATTTTAATGCATTTTAACATATTCGTAGTATATGTTTAACAATTATTCCAACTCTAAGTGTGATGGGGTTCGAACCTAAGACCTTTCTTATAGAAATTAATGAGTAAGTTAAAGTTTATAAATAGTTAACGGAATATTCTGTTACTAAAGTTTATACTAACGGAATTTAGGTTATTTAAGGGAAGAAAATAATATAATAGAGGGTAAATAAGAAAAATCATTAAAAAAATACTAAAATCAAAATAATATGAACCATTCATTTTAAGAAACAATACTACCGACATTTTTTTTCCAGTTAAGGGTCTAACATTATTGGCTCTTATTAGAATTGTCGAAATAATAATATATATCAACGATCTTGTGGTCTAATGGTATTTGGTTGTTTCCTTAAGTGGGAGGTAATAGGTTTGATCCTTAGCAGAGGCAGTTAGTAGTTTAGTAGCTACAACAAAAAATAATACATATGCATTTCTTTAATTTAGAATTATGTGTTTACCATGTCTTTATTAAAAAAATATATATTCATTATTAATAAATAACTTCATTACTTTTATTGTATTTATTTTTCTCCAATATAAAAATTCTTTAAATTCCAATTCATCAATTGATTATATTCGCTACATCTTTGTTTAAAAAAATTATTCATTATCAATAAATTAATTAAGAGAAATAATTTTATTAGTTATATTGTTTTTATATTTCTCCAATGTAAAAATTCTTTACATTCAAATTCATCCAATTGATTATATTCACTACATTGTCTATTTTTTTTTGTGCACTATTTTTAAATTAAATATCAACGTTATAATACAAAATAATGTTATATATTTATTTACCAAGTATTTTATTAATACCATGAAAAAATTTAAAAAAAAAATTAATAAAGCCAATCATATTAACTACTTGAGTGATTTGTTGACAAAGAGAGTATTCAAATCACACAACAAATTGAAGTGAGAACTACCTTGCAATGTCTTTGTTTGACAATCAGCAGTTAGCGGATTATATTAACGAATTTGACCAGCGAATTATATCAACCGTCGGTAAAAATATATTTGAAAAAATTAGCTGTTTAGATTAACATGTAAAATGACCTAAGGGTATACACAAAAAATAATAATAATAATAATAATAATTGTTTTAAAAAAATAAAAAAATATATAATTAAGCCAATCATATTAACTACTTGGGGATTTATTGACAAAACGTTTATTTAAATCACACAACAAATTGAAGTGGAAAACTACCTCGCAATGTTCTTGTTTGACAATCCGCAGTTAGCTCTTCATTAGTATATATTTAATATTTTATGCCCTAATTTTTAATTGCTCTCCCTTATATCCCGTATTTGATTTCAACCATACCTATACAATTATTTTATTGACAATTATAATTAATCTTGACTATATTATCTTGCATTTGTAAACTTAGAATTGCCTATTTAAATACGCAAATTTAACATTCAACTATCTATGCATGAACAATTCCAATATAATATTGCCTTGATATACTTCAAAGTACTTATTTTTTTAAAAAAAACATTTGACATTATCACAATCGCGCAATGCGCGTAAAAAACTAGTTAACCTGATCAAAATACTAATTACTCTTTTTTTTTTTCAAATTCAATAATCAATTTGAAACTTATTCGAGTTTAGTTACTTCACTTTTTTTTGAATACAGAGTGAGGGCATAGGCCCGGGTTAGCTAACTAAGGGTTTTCACGCGGGTGCCATGCGATTCACACGAGCACCGACCCTATCTTTCCAAAGTAAATCATCCACACACTGCGGCTGGGTGCCAAGCTCCCGTGTCCTCAGATTATGGTCCAAAGCGACCGAAGCGAGCTTATTAACAGCTCTGTTTGTTTCCCGCACAACGTGCTTGAAGCTCACCTCTTTGGAAAGTATTTGATTCTCGTACCATAGCTGCACAATGTTGCTTCCTTTTCCACATCTAAAACACATATTTATGCACTTAATCGTACCCATCGAATCGCTTTCTACCATAACTTTCGTAGCGCCACATCTGGCTGTCATTCGTATCCCCACTAGAACAGCCCACAGTTCAGCTTCGTCAGACATACACGACCCGATGTTGTGCAAGTTCAGTGACTTAATTGCTATTCCTTTGTACATTTTCCCTTTATTTATTTATAAACATTTGCGTCGTTTCTTAGAAAAGGTATTCCGTAATCCGATGATAGATATGCAAAGACGTTTGCGTACTGGGGTACACACAAATTAGTAAATTTAAATCCATATGGACCAGAAAAATAAATTAGAATTACGAGGAATAAATGTAAAAGCAAAAATGATGTGGATTCGTCGTCCTAGCTCATTCCTGCGTTCTCCCTGCCCGTCAATTAGAAGATCCTGAAATCATATCGGCAGGCGAAGCGATGAGTTCCTTCGCAGTATCTTTGAAGGCCGCTCCTTCATTTGCTCTACCGACATCGCCTGGCGTTGCTAGGGTTTCTGGCTCCCCAACTCTTTCATGGGAGAAGAAGAGGGGGAGACAGAAGAAAACACATCTTGTACGAGCGGCCCTGGTGGAGGCTGGACCCAGACAGGTGCCAGCCATCAGAGACCGGTCGTCTGACAACAGTAATGGTTCTTTGCAATCTCTGCAACGAGGCGAAGTCACTTCCTCCATTCCATCCAGTAGAGATCGAGCAGACGATATGCAAGCTGAAGCTAGGGCAATGGCGCGTGCAGCAAACGCTTCAGTTTATAGCCCACAACTCTTGTCCGCTAAGTATGGCCCTCGACCCATCAAGGTAGCAAGGCTCTCAGAAACTTAACACTTTGAACTGAATGATGATAAGTTTATCTCCTTTTTATTTTTGAATCTTTGATAATAGGTGTTGAGCAGAGCTCTCGAGATATTCACTGGGCTTGGTTCTTTCGGCCTTAGCCTGTGGCTCGACCAATTGAACGGCCAGCTGGACCAGAATAGAAGATTACGCGCCGTTGAGCTAAGGGAGATTTTCACCAATTTAGGTCCTACTTTTGTTAAACTTGGCCAAGGATTATCCACCCGACCTGATTTATGTCCGCCGGAATTTCTTGAGGAGCTTTCTAAGTTGCAGGTACTTACATCACTTCTTTTCCTTCTCGCTCGCCATTTCCCCGCTTGGCTTGCTGCAAAATATAAATTGATACTCCGTATAATTTATCCCATCCATTTGGGCTCAATGGCAAAAAGACTGTTCGAAGTAGTAATGAAAATTCAGGACAACCTTAGATCCCGCATGCTCAATTTGACACCTTGTAAATTAGCTCCATGGATAAATTTAATAAGATTGCGTGGAGTCTTGAGGGACCATATATCAAGTAGTAAGTCCCTTTTGAATATTTTTCTTCATTTTAATTGAGATGCCTCTGGAGATATGCTGACTTTTCATTAAATTCAGAATCTTAAATAATTGAACTGTACTAGACTCCTGCTTTCTGATTGTTTATTGGTTCTGAGTAGGATGCTTTGCCAACTTTTCCTGATGTGGAAGCATTTTCCTGTATTGAGAGGGAGTTGGGACGTCCACTCGATTCTATCTACTCCTCTATATCTGCATATCCCATTGCTGCAGCCAGTCTGGGTCAAGTTTATAAAGCTCAACTGAAGTTCTCTGGTCAGGTTGTTGCTGTTAAGGTACAACGGCCTGGTATTGAAGAAGCAATAGGATTAGACTTTTACCTTATAAGAGGCTTGGGTTTTCTCATCAACAAGTATGTTGACATAATATCCAGTGATGCTGTTGCTCTTATTGATGAATTTGCTCGTCGAGTTTATCAAGAGCTCAACTATGTTCAGGTTAGCTTTTCCACCACTTCTTTTACTTATCTTGAACCATATGTATTATATATTTTTTTTCTTTGTTTGAATTAGAAGAGTTCCAGTTTTAGTAAAACTTCCACAATATTCCTCTGGGTTTGAATGTTAATTTTGGCAGGTCTATGCAGGAAGGACAAAATGCGAGGAGGTTTAAAAAGTTATATGCTGATAGAGAAGATGTTCTTGTCCCAGACATTTTCTGGGACTACACAAGTGGGAAAGTTTTAACAATGGAGTGGGTGGAAGGTGTTAAATTGAATGAGCAAGAGGCCATTGAGAGACAAGGGCTAAATGTTTTGGATCTGGTGAACACTGGCATCCAATGTAGTCTCAGACAACTGCTCGAGTATGGTTATTTTCATGCAGATCCTCATCCTGGAAATCTCTTGGCAACTCCCGAGGGGAAGCTTGCATTTCTTGATTTTGGAATGATGAGTGAAACTCCTGAAGAAGCAAGATTTGCCATAATTGGTCATGTTGTTCACATGGTTAATCGGGACTATGAAGCTATGGCTCGTGACTACTATGCATTAGACTTTTTGTCCCCTGATGTAGATGTTTCTCCAATTGTACCAGCACTCCGAAATTTCTTTGACGATGCACTTAACTCAACTGTGAGTGAACTTAACTTTAAGACAATTGTTGATGGCTTGGGTGCTGTGTTGTATCAATACCCCTTTAATGGTAAGCTACTTCATTTTCAATCATCATTCTTCATAATCTATTGCAAATAAAGCCTGCTAAGTTTTTGACATTCCATAAGTGAGAAAGTAAACAAGATGGCTTCACTTGTATATAAAGAAATGCAGTCAGTTGCATTATTTCTAACATTTCTGATTCAATTTGTTGAAATTTTTGCAGTTCCAGCTTATTATGCATTGATTCTAAGGTCCCTCACTGTTTTGGAAGGCTTAGCTCTATATGCTGATCCTAAGTTCAAAGTGCTAGCGGCATCATATCCATATTTTGCTAAGAGGCTTCTTACAGATCCGAACCCATATCTTAGAGATGCTCTCATTGAGTTGCTTTTTAAGGATGGAAAGTTCAGGTGCGCAATTTGATGTCCTATTGGTATTGGCTGCTGTTTCCTTGGTAAATACTTGATGGACTTGTGCTGTCTACAGAGTAACTCTTTAACTCTTTGCATCTTGCCTTGCTGTAGGTGGAATAGACTTGAAAATCTGCTTGTCCAGGGAAAGAAAGATCGAGATTTTTCTGCAAGAGATGCCTTACAACCTGTCCTAAAGTTATTATTGGGTCCAGACGGTGAGGAATTGAGGGTTTTGGTGACTAAAGAGGCTATTCGTGTCACTGAAGCTGTCATTCTGGGCTCAATTATTGAATCATATAACTTCATCCCTGGTCCGATGAGGACTATTATCTTCAATGGCAATGCAGCCGGTCCTCTTGTGATGAATCCTGCTGAACAGGAAAGCATGATGGATCTCAGGGCACAAGTATTTAGGATATGGGGTCTTTTGCGATCCTCTGAGAGTTTTGACCCAAGCCTTCTACAACCTATTTTACAGGTAAGCTATTTGCCTATTTCTAGTCTGGTGTCTGGGTGCAAGTGGTTTTATTTGCTTTCTGAGTTCTGAATTCTGATAATATAAAGAAGTTGGTTAAGTTATCTTACCCCGATATCTCTCCATTGCAGCCCTAATGAAATCCAGAAAACAAATAAGTGGATCTTCTTTGTTATACATCACTCTGAAATAACTATCACAACCTTATTTAGCATAGCATGGTCTGTTCATGATTCCTGGACATCTACTATTTAGATGATTCAGAATATGCTTTCTCAACAATTGGAACAAGTTATATTAACTTGTGCACTTAGCTCTGTCAGTATTTGCATTCATGTAAAACATATGGTATATGAGTTGTGAATTAATTGCCTAGTTGGTGCCTTGCTGATCGGGTTGGTAATGTTAAGAGAACTATCCCTTAATGGTTCACTTTCATATTATGCTCATTGTTCTATGAAAACTTGCAAACACCCATTTAAAATCATTCACCCAGGCAGAGGTTTGGCTTTTAACCTGAAATTTTACTGATCAAATTTCATAAAGCTGTGTCTGGCGGTGTTCACCTAAAGAGCATATGCATTTCATGACAGTAGGAACCCCTATCTGTACTCATATGTCATGGAATGATACCCCCAAAAAAAAAAAAAAAAAAAAAAAAAAAAAAAAAAAAAAAAAACAGGTTACTCTATAGGAGAATAGCTTACTTTGACTATTTTATACATAAGTTTGCACTTGGAAAATAGCCATTAGATTTGTTGAAGATAGACATCCAGACCAATTATTGCTATACTATCTATTAAAAAATGTTCTGTTGCCAGAAAATTTGTGTTGGTAAAGTAGTACTTCAATACTCAATAGGAACTTGTGATTATTTTGAAGCTAACTTGAATAGCATTAATAACCAGATACTCCAAGAACCTGAGGCACGCAGCATTGGAGGACGCGTTGTTGGTGGAATAAGCCAACGCCTTGCAGCGCGGTTACTGCAACAAGTTCTTCGAGCTCCTTCTCCAACTGTTAAGTAATTGTATCTCAAAATTCCTGTTGTAGATTCAAAGGAAAACTGAAATTCTGTCACATGACCTGTGACAATTATGTTCGAATTGCTTTCCGTATCTATGGAGAAAATTAACTCAACGTAAGAATTAATTAACCCAATAACAAAATTAATGATTGACCAAATATGATAATAGAGACGATTTTCGAAAGAGATGAAGGAATTTCATATTTCACTGTAGAATGTTTCAATATTACAGTTAAATCTTTTAAGTGTTAAGGAGACAAAATGTGTTTTAAACCTTACCTCTAACAACCTTTGTGGGAATTGAACGTCTATCATAAGATTAGATCTTTGTCCAATAACCGTATCCACGCTATTGGACTGGTTACGTATCATAACCTCTTATGTCAACCTATGTGTCACCTTGGCATCTTGTCACGAATTTATGCCTGTATGTGCTCTATTACATGGTCTATACAATTGTATGGACTATAAATAAAGTACATTTTAAATATATTAAAAATACATTATTTGTAAATTGAAAGAACATTATTTAAATATTGAAAATACATTATTTTGTATGGACTAATATTGATGAAAATAGAAAATTAATATTATGGTATGTGAAAAATAAACTATATAGAAGAAGAGAATGTTAATAGAGCAACTAACTTAAGTGCACATTATTAGTTAACAATGGATACACTTTCAAATTTTACGAAAATAAATGTGATTTTCCCTAAACTCTATTTTAGTTTTTTCCATTTTTCTTTATTTTTTTTAACTATTAAATCAAACTAAATGAACAAATAAGATGATTTCGAATTTCTTATGAGAAGACATGTTCTCATATATATACATACTTTGAGACACAACTCGACTAGCCAACTAACTAAAAATAAGTTCATAAACTTTATTATAAATATTTAGGAAGCGACTTACCCCATCCATCAATCTCTAAATTAGGAGTAACATAACTTGGAACAAAGGAGAATGGTTAGCTCACTTATTATTCTAGTGGGTTTTAATAAACTATGCGGATCTAGTGAGTCTTAATAAACTATGTAATTTAATGGTTCATTTCTTCTTTAGAAACAAAGACAATTGAGATAATGTAGATCATGTGGAACAGTTATTAAAAATTAATTTGATATTTAACCATTTAAAACTTATTTTCAAAATGGTATTGTCCAACCAAATGTTTATTTATGGTTAATAAGTGTGAACTTGCATGGGCAGCTCATTGGTCATAGATGTGAAAGTTTGGAAGAATGACTAGGGATCAAGTCTCACCAAAAGTAGTGTAGGAGCAACTAGTGCGGCTTTATATATATATATATATATATAAATAATATGGCTCTTGAATCAGTTTAATCTAACGGCAGTGGTTAATTACTTAAGATTTAAGTGGGGGTGTTATTATGGTAATTATAGTGTCACCCCCCACAACAATGAAATACACAAAAAAACACACAACATACCTAAAAATACACCATATAACGTCCTACCCCTAATGGTGTATTTCTGAACACTGTGTGGTTCTTTTATCCATACCTAATGGTGTGTTTTGGTGATGCGTACCTAATTGCATCACCTAATTTGTGCATGTTTTTTTTGTGTGCATTTTATAACATGGATGGTGTATATTTGTATAACTATTAGTGCAGCCGCACGGGAAAGGGTTGTCGCACCTAAACTTGGCACCAACGGGAATCTACAAATACACCAGTGTAAGGCTAATAATGCACCAATTACACAAATAAAACACACAACAATGTGATTTGCCCTATTTCGGTGCCCAATGACGACTTTAGCCTTGCAGTTCGCGTAGTGGGAAAACGTGCACGAAAATATTGGAGAAGCCTTGATGAATATGATTCATTGGAATTATCTAATCTAATGGCCTGCAATTGACCGCACCGCTGCACCTAACAACACTGCCGCACTTGAACTCCCCTCTCTCTCTCTCTCTCTCTCTCTCTCTCTCTCTCTCTCTCTCTCTATATATATATATATATATATATATATATATATATATATATATATATATATATATATATATATATATATATATATATATATATATTGTGTATCGACTTATTCACTTACAACCAACACACACTACATGGTAGTTGACAGTTGCCTTACTTTGTTATTACACACTTTAAATTTCTTTCTCAACTAAGAATTAGCTGAAAATGCGATTTCTTGATAATCTTTCCAAAATAGTGCTAATAGTTTAAAGTAGAGGTAGTTGACAGTTGTCTTACTTTGTTAATTACAAACTTTAAATTTCTTTCCAGTTAAGAATTAGCCGAAAATGTAATTTCTTGATAATCTATTCAAAATAGTGCTAATACTTTAAAGTAGAGTAGTTGACAGTTGTCTCATGTTGTTATTACACATTTTAAATTTCTTTATCGGCTAAGAATTAGTTAAAAATGTGATTTCTTGTCTCTTCAAAATAGTGCTAATAGTTTAAAGTAGAGGAATAGTCTAATCTAAATATATAAAAATGATAAGGAAAAGTAAGACGAGAAGAGGTTAAAAAAAAAAAAAAGGTGTGGTGAAGTGGAAAGGGGAGTGACGGTATGCAAGATTTATTATTTTTATTTATTTGATACAAGAAAGGAATATACTCCACCTCGTATTTACTATATTCCGTGTATAGGAAGACGCCAGACGGTCGTCATATTGAAAGAAGAAGGGGTCAAATTTAGGGAAGAGAAGAGGAAGAAGAAGAGAAAAGGATTTGAAACATCAAACGCCGATCCGCCCTTCTCTACCGTACATCTCTCTCTCGGCTGGGGTGGAAGCCCACCCCCTCCCCCCTGTGTTCCCATTTGCCATTTCAGATCTACCCCCCTTCACTTCTCTCTCTCTCTCTCTCGAGCGCATTGCACATACAGACAGCTGGAGAATACAACCCACATCACATGGCCTCCTCCAGTTACTTGACATAGAGAAAGAGGGACCTTAATTTTTGGAAGAAAAGCATAAATTGACACCAGTCTCTTTCTCTCTCCACTCCCTTCTTGGAATCATCCTCCCTCCCTCACCGTCTTCATCGTAACAGCTTCTATTCCTCGTCTTATTCTCAATCCATTGCATCTATCAACTTGTTCGGTTCCTCCATTTGAGATCTATTAGAGAATCATCTCCCCCTCCCTCCTCTGTAATTTCTGCGTGCGTGGAGGGGCGGATCTTTCCCCATTCTACTTGAGAATATGGAAGCCGACAAGAAAGCTTCCATGGTGTCCGACGTCGGAGCATGGGCGATGAATGTCGTCAGCTCTGTGGGAATCATCTTGGCTAACAAGCAGCTCATGTCCAACAATGGCTACTCTTTCACCTTTGGTAACTCAATATATCTATCTATCTATCTATCTATCTATCTATCTATGTGGAGTTGCATGTTAACCAGATCTTAACCTCATATTATTTATATATTTTATTTTTCTATGAATGCCATGCTAAATTCGCACCAAATTATCCCTTTCATCTCCTTTATTCTACTTCTAAACCAATTTCAATGTTCTAGTCTCACTTCAAATTGTGGCTGTATGCGTGCCTTTTTACCCATATTTCGTGTTACTGCTTCAACGATTTCAGTTTCATGGCTATGTTCTATTGTTAGATTTGGCCGTTTCTGTGATTGATTTTTGGTTTAAGTTGCCAACTTGTGATTAGTGGATAATCTATTAGGGACGGAACTTGTCCCCTTTTCTTATTTGTGTTTCAGTTTTGAGCTAAGGTGTTTGCCCTGTTCCTTCTTTCTGATTCCAAGGGGCTGCTTCTTATTTCATTTTCTTAAAGTGCCAATGCTGGGGTTGGGGATCTGTAATTTTGGATCGCTTCAGTGCATCCAAGAATATCCTTCTTTATTTAATGTGTAAAATCTGGCTATACTATGTATGTTAAGTGGTAACATTGCCAATAAAAGCTGCAACCTAAAGGGTGCAAGTTTGCAACAGCACTTGGCACAGTTGACATCACATCATCAAGACATTCAAGAAGTTCAACAAATTTACTATGATATAAACACCATCTTTGTAATGGTAATCATGCATCATCCATATACAATCTTGCAAATATGTGTAATTCTCTTTTCTTAGCCCCTATTTTTTGTTTGGGAAACAGAGTTTATGTTATCTTGATACTAGGCATGTTTGCAAGTGATGTTAGATGATTGAGTGATTGCCTGTAGGGTCCTTTTGGTCTTATGTGTTTAAAGGCATTGATATATATGGTGAATGGTTTAATGTGCTTCTGTATCTTTATTATATTTGTTGCTTTTAATTGCAGAATTTTAATTAAAAAACTCAATTGTATATTCTGTTTCTCTTGTATACAATTAATGAATTGACAAGTGTGCTGTTTTATTCACTATCCAGCTACAACATTAACTGGATTCCATTTTGCTGTGACGGCACTAGTGGGAATGATTTCGAATGCCACTGGCCTCTCTTCATCAAAGCATGTTCCTTTGTGGGAGCTTATTTGGTTTTCAATTGTTGCTAATATGTCTATTACAGGGATGAACTTGAGTCTCATGCTCAATTCAGTTGGATTTTATCAGGTAAGATGTTGTTTTTCAAGTCCTTCGTATCATAAGTACTGTGAATCTGTGATTGGTCTGTGATAGAACTGATGTGGCATTATTACATATATCAAGTTGAAATGTACTACCACATCTCAATGCATTTATATATGATCTGTTATATTTGATAGAAAGCCGGTGGCTGAATTTTGAAGCAAAAGAATCAATTTAATTGTCAATCACACATTCTCTTCTACTTTGCCATTTGCATTCAATTCTTGCTCCAAGTTTTTCCTTAGCAGGAGATGGTAGAATTGTTTGTTATTGAGAGAGAGAGAGGAAGAAGGAATGATGATCTTTGTTCCCTATCAAAAGAACAAAAGAATGTAGTGTGATGGGTTTGAAACAGCCATGTGCCTAAGCCATGAAGAAATTAGCAAGTCTCTGCAGCTTTCCCAACCTAATATAGTTTTATTTAATTTTCTATCAACGGTGAACTTTCAACTGTTTTAGGATGAGCATTTGAATACAGGGTAGGCTTATTTGAATACATGTCCAGTTTTGATAGAAAAAAAAAGCTTGTTGATGACATCTAAACTGTGGAAAATTAGTATTGATGTTTGCACTGGAAGGTATGACAAGGGATGAGCTAGAAGTCTTTGGCTATATCCCTTTATTCATCTTAGCTATGCATAATATTATGTATTATTACTTTCAAGAGTAATTTTTTTAATGCATCTAACCCTTCTTAACTTTTTTTGGTGTAGATCTCAAAATTGAGTATGATTCCAGTGGTATGTGTAATGGAATGGATCCTTCATAATAAGCAGTATTGCAGGGAGGTTAAAATGGCTGTTGTGGTGGTTGTCATTGGAGTGGGTGTTTGCACTGTGACTGATGTCAAAATTAATGCCAAAGGTTTTCTTTGCGCTTGTGTAGCAGTGGTTTCTACCTCATTGCAACAAATTGTGAGTATTACATTCTGTACATTTTCCAAATGGATTAACAGTTAATACAACTTTAATTTTTTTTTTTTTTTTTTGGTCAGGGTGTTGCTATCTAGACTCCTTATTTCACTTTTCACACCCCTCCTATCTTAATGAGATAACCCTATAATCTTGACTTCTACAAATACAGATGATATAGACAACCCTAACAACAGACTTTATTCACATACTCTCTTTGTTGAGAGAGGCTAAATAATGCTCCTGCCACATATTCATATCAAATTCTACTTAAAAAAAAAAAAAACAGTTATAATAATTGTTACCCTGAGGTAATAATGATATTCTTTTGATGCTTTAGACATTAGCATGCAGATTTATGTTTGTTGTGCTTAGTTACACTCATTGTGTCCCCTTTCTTGAGTTCTTTCAGCAGAGAAATAAATTAATGAATCTATATTGGAATTATAGTATGAATGATAAAAAATTTCTGTTATGTTTTTTTCAGAGAGTTCAATATCATCTTTTATGTCCTTTATGCATGCTTCCATAATACTTTGATGGAATTTGGGTACTGTGTCTGTATAAGTCAAATCTTGCCTTCTATGAGTAGTATATGTTATTGTACTCGCCCCAATGTAAGTTTATTATGTACCTTGGGTTGCACTATTATACTACAATATAAAAGCTATACTGCAATAACTATTCTTGTTTACTTTAAGACCTCCATGGTTTACTTCCATCTATAAATTGATGCATATATGGAATTTTTAACAAACTTTATGTTGGTGCAGTCCATAGGCTCCTTGCAGAAGAAGTACTCAATTGGATCTTTTGAATTGTTGAGCAAAACAGCTCCAATTCAAGCTGCCTCTCTCCTCGTGCTGGGTCCTTTTGTTGACTATTTTCTTTCTGATAAACTAATATTAGAATACAAGTATTCTTCTGGTGCTATTGTAAGTCTTTATGAACAGCATAATTATTGCATTTTGACATCCTCCATGCTATTTCTGAAAAATGAAAGAAAGCTTTACACACTTGTACACACACCTACCGAAAATATACTTGCATGATGAACGTGTATTAGATTACTAACTGATGGCAATTTCTGCAGTTGTTTATACTCCTTTCATGTTCTCTAGCTGTGTTCTGCAACGTGAGCCAATATCTTTGCATTGGACGTTTCTCGGCAGTTTCCTTCCAGGTTTTAGGTCACATGAAGACAGTGTGCGTCCTCACTTTGGGGTGGCTGCTCTTTGATTCTGAGCTGACTGTGAAGAATATCATGGGAATGCTTACTGCAGTTGTTGGGATGGTAATTTATAGTTGGGCTGTGGAGATAGAAAAACAGCAGGCCAATGCAAAGATCGTGGCCGGCTCAAAAAACAGCTTGACAGAAGAGGAACTAAGATTACTGAAAGAGGGAGTGGAAAACACGCCCATAAAGGATGTTGATCTTGGTGAATCCAAGGTGTGACTTGGTCTATATTCACAAGTGTAGAGATTTCTGATCGTGCCCATGCTCTCGATACATTTATTTATTCTTGCTGGCACCTTGGGTGCATATTCAGTATCCGTTGTTTAGTTTAGACAAGACAGGTTGCATACCTGCGATGCGAGGTGTTCTTCATTGTTATTGTTGTTATTATTATTGTTATTATAATTTCTAGACTTTCTGCTTCACGCATGAAGGCTTTGGAAATGAACGAGACATAGCGCGTAAAATATTCATAGTTTTAGTTTGAAGTTATTTTTATTTCAGCCATATCTCAATTTTATTAGCAGCTCTTGTATTACTTTGCTTTATTATTTCACCAGTCATTAGTTCAACCAGGGTTGCAACTTGTGACCCGTCGGTCGAGAATTAATTTGATTGGGATTAAAATAAAAATGCACACTAATCTTCACCCCAAACTGGCGAACATCTTGGTGTCAAGTGGAGCCTAAATCCACCCACCGGTAAACTACATTACAGACACACCAAGGGAAGTCAAAGCCAAGAAGGTATTGTCCGAGAGGATGATTGACATTTGACATACAGAGGTACAAATAAAAGTTTAGTATTATGAGACAGCAATTCAAGCACACACGCGAAAAGGGCGGCCGGTGTTGATTATTGGTGTTTTGTGCATTACTTAAGTAGTTGAGCGTGGGTGTTTTGTGCATTACTTAACTACTTAAGTCATTTTTGAGACAATGTCAATATGAGGAATATATGGAAGAAGTCAGCTTCAAGGACATTGGCGGAATCAGAGTAAAATGTAAAACCACCACTTGTTCTATCGTCAAGTATCAAAGTTGTAGCTTATTTTGTTCATAATTTAAATGTTATTTTATCAAAAATAATATTTCAAAAAAAAAAACAATTTACTATAAGTTTGTTCTTTTTTATTTTTAGAGAAATATTTTGAGTTGTTTCTTATTCAAAGCATACGAAATTATTGATGGAATTTGTTTTCCGGCGGTAGAATAAATTAAGTGATACCATACCATATATGAGCACATGTCTTGTACAGCAAACAGAGCTTTTGTCTTTGTTCAACTTTAATTGATTAAAGCAAAAGTGCAACATAACATCCCTTCCTCTCCCTCTTCACACTCTTTATGGTGTAGGTGAGACGAGATCCCTAATCCAGTAATCCCTATCACCGAAACATCAATATATTTGTCTGTATCTTTATGTAGATCTTTCAACTGTCAGCGTCTGATTAAGGAAGAATTTGTTGATAGTTGATTGGGGTTGATATTCCTCCTCTGTATTTTGTGTGTATCTATCTAGTATCTATCTATAACATACATAAATTTTATGCCTCCATGATAGTGATAGTAGTCTAGTTGGAGGAGGAGGAGCTGAGAAAGAGAAGTGTGTAAGTGTACTCTATTCTCTATCTATTATATGTATATGTAGGCAAGCTGCGGATATGATAGGATAGGAGAAAGCGGAAAGCATTGGTGAATTACATTAGCAACAGAAACATAAACTACATATTTGTTGTATAAGTGTTGATGGAAGGAAGAGCAGCGGTGTGGTGAACTCTTTTGCACTTGTTAAACAAAGGAAATGGGTTCTGAGCAGAATGGATTTCCGCCACCTCCCACGCAAGACCCACCACCTCCTCCTCCTCGCCCCAGGGTAGGGTATTTCCGTCTCCCAGATCTACTCTGCTCTATATGCAATTTTCTCCCCTCCTTCCTTTATTCTACACTCTTGCCTTCTTTATATTTCCATCTTTCCTACTTGATAGATCCGTTACTAGCACTTCCTCTCTATGATATGGCTGTCTATCTAGCTTTATTTTGAGGGCTGTTCCTGTTTTGCCATTTAGCTAGCTAGCTCGCTCTTTTGTCCCCTTTCTCTTTATCAAGTGGTAGAGCCACGCAGATCTGATCTTTGATGACTTGTGCAATGGAATTTCCACGGTAAAACCACTGACCCAGCACAAATGATACTACATCCTTGGTGCTGTGAGGACAAAAATCCCTGCATTTCACACTCTAATTATGCTATTTTCTCCACATTTTGCTCTAGTCTTGAAATTTTTGGATCTGGGCTCAAGTCAAAACAGCCAGCAATTACTTTTCTCCCTGGCCCCTACTTCAAATATACACATTTTAGAAGCATGCATATGGATTACAGTGATGTCAATGTCTATCTTTCTTTGCTGTCTGTTGGATAGACAATATTATGCTGATTACAAGCTTTCATGCATGATCAACTTTTGCTTGCTTTTAGTGGAATTCAGTACCATGTTCACTCACTATTTTTCATTTCTATCTCTAACCATCCACTTTCATATGCACATTGTGTACTTCTACCATTATAATTATTATTATTTTTGAACTATATGATTCCATCCCTATTCTCATCAAAGGATGGCTTGCTAGTACTGTATTGTATGGAATTTTACGATTTTATTTTGGAGAAGGAGAGCTTGAGGTTTGTGGATTGGGGGTTGGGGGTTATTTTGCAGAATGTGTAGGGCTTTTGTTCAGAAATAGTCAGATTACCTTCTTTAGTTGCCACTGTTTCCTTGATGGAATGATTCAAAATTTTCCACCAACCGGTAGATAATTCCAAGACTTAAACTGTTGTGTCAGGATTGTTGGCCCGCACTTGATCTCTACATCTGTGTTTATAACAATAAGTTTTTTCCATCTCTGCTTGGGACTTAAATACACCCGTGTATTTTTTTTTAACAATCTGTCATTATTCTATGGAGCTTGGAGTCTTAAGATTTATAACCTTAAGCTGAGGGCCTTTGCAATATCAGTCAATGATAATTGTTACTTATGGACACAGATAATGTGCTTTGGATCATTTTTATATTAAACATCCCAGCAATATGATAAAGCATATTTTTACCCTGCATATGCTGATAAGATCTGCAATTATTTACCAACTATTTATTTCTACATATGCCTGCATGCCTTATTTTTATCTTCGTTGTTTTAAATGGTATGTGCCCAAAGTCTTCTTTTACCGCTGCTTGTTGAAGCATTTGGGCACTTATATCTACATTTCCTTTAGCCTTCTTACAGGTTGCTAATAGTCTAGTTCTTTGACAGCATAAAAGATGGGTTGGATGTTGGGGTGGATCGTCTTGTTTTGGCAAACAAAAAGGTGGAAAACGTATTGTACCTGCTTCTCGGGAGGCCAATTCATTAACAAATCAGCCAAATGGACCCCAAGTTGGTGCCATAAATAATCAGACTACAGGACTCACACTATCTCTTTTAGCTCCACCTTCTTCTCCGGCATCTTTTTCAAACTCAGCAATAGCTTCAACAGCTCAATCACCAAATTGTTTCTTATCTGCCAACTCCCCAGGAGGTCCATCATCCACTATGTTTGCTACTGGTCCATATGCCCATGAGACACAACTTGTATCTCCTCCTGTTTTCTCTACCTTTACAACTGAGCCATCTACCGCTCCTCTAACACCTCCCCCAGAGTTGGCACATCTGACTACTCCCTCTTCTCCAGATGTGCCTTATGCTCAGTTCCTTTCATCTTCTGCAAACCTTAGAACCACAAATAAGTCACAGTATGGCATTACTAATGATCTTCAGTCAGCCTATTTGCTCGATCCAGGAAGTCCTGCTAGTAGTCTTAGATCACCTACTGAATGGGATCCCTCAGTTCCTTCGCAAGAGTTCAAGTATCAAGTGTGTGAATCAGGTGGACTTCGTGGAACAGGAACAGCTGAAACCTCCAAGTTGTCCCAAGATTCAAATTTTTTCTGCCCAGCTACATTTGCACAATTCTACATCGATCACTCCTTATTTCCTCATTCTGGTGGGAGGATAAGTGTGTCCAAGGAATCAGATGCATATTCAAATGGGCATCAGAACAAGCAGAACAAAACTTGTAAACAAGACACAGAGGAGATAGAAGCTTACAGAGCATCCTTTGGTTTTAGTGCTGATGAAATTGTCACTACAACGCAGTATGTGGAAATTTCCGATGTCTTAGATGACTCATTTACCATGACGCCTTTTGCCTCCAGTAAGCCTCAAGAAAAAAATATAATGATTGTGTCAACAGATGAGGTGACAAAAGTAGAGAAAAGTCAGAAAAATGTCTCAAGCCCACAATATCTCAAATCAAGTTCATATCATGCTAAGGGACCTTACAGCAATATAGCAGGTACATATGCTATAGTAGATTTTACAGCCTTCTGTTATTTTGAATCCTATGTGTTCTGCTTGTCAATGTTTAATCAGTTTCTTTTCTTTTTTTTCAAGGTAGTATTTATTATTTAAGTTGTATATATTTTTCCACTTTCAAATTCACTGATAAAATATTATATTTGAGATTGCTATGCAAAGCAAATGTTTCTTGGTAATATGTTTTACTATTTCATCAACAGACCTTCTGAGGTTTACTATGTGAAGTTAATTGTTATGGCACTAGTAGAACTTGTTATGCAATCCTGATTGCTTGACCCTTTTCTTGTTTTCACAGATCACAGTTTACAGAAGCATTCTAAAGATGTTTTTGGACAAAATGCCCTTAGCACTCATGCTGTCAGTGACGAGGAGGATGTCTTCTCCAAGATGGGAAATTCCAGACATGGTAGGAAACATCCCCCTGGTTTATCTAGCTCTGATGCAGAGATTGATTACAGGAGAGGAAGAAGTTTGAGAGAAGGAAAAAGCTATTTCTAATGGCTCGATTCTTTGCATATTTCAACTTGTTTTAGGCTTTTTCTTCCTGTTTGATTGATCGGTTGAATGTATTGTCTCTATATTTGAAGTTCCCAAGGTAAACACATGAAAAGTCTAACTGTATTATAGATGTGGATGTAGCATGGGGCTCTTTTGTAATGTGTTTTTGAATGCTAAAGAGTTTGATTTATTAATATTATTCTAATTTTAATTGTAATTTTTTGGGCCTGGAAGCCTTGTTAGATGTGCATTTAGAGCAAAAGAAATTTCTGTTTTTTTTTGGTTGCCAAAAGATATCCCTCTAGCCAATTGTCAGAAGACTAATCCTCAGCACACTAAGTGATAGGGAATTGGCCAAATGGTTTGTTCCATTCATATGGGTGAAGATTGAACCCCCAACCTCATGCTGAAGGGACAAGGTACTAAACCACCATGCCAACCATGTTGGTTAGAGCAAAAGAAATTTCTAGTATTGCATTACTGTTGTTTATAGGATCGTCGTTGTAAATTCCGTAGACTATTGCATTGTCTGGATATCCCTATTCCATTTTATGGAATGGTTGTTGGGAGTTTGGGGATCAGATCAGATGGATGCCTATTAGTCTATTACCAGTGGCATTTATTCCTTTTCTCAGTGATGCCATATAATATACCTCAAGCTCCAGGACAAGAGGATGAGGGACTGTCCATATCTATGTACAAATAATGGTCAAATATCCGTAAACACACCGGTAGTAAAGCCGCAATAAATTATAAATGCCATATAAGCCAAAAACTTGGGTGTATTTAAAAGAGAGAACTAGAGAAGACAGTAAACTATATCTTCTCTGCAGAAAATTCATAAGGTTAATATCACAGCGCACCATATCCCATATTCTTTCTCTCTCCTCTCACATGATAGCTTGTTAGTTGCTTAATGAACTTCTCAATACTCTCCAGTACCTAGAAGAAGATGGGTTCAAATGGATAGCTTGGAGCATCTGTCTTATGGAATCTGCACAAGGCTCCAAAGATGACTCGCCATAAGTACCACATTGTGAATGTCTTGAAACCAAATGCATTTGGAATAAGAGTTCAGCAGGCTTCATTTCTGCAGGAAATACAAGGCTTCTTATTAGAACATTAAAGCAGATAAAGATGGCTCAAAGGATTATAATTATCAAGTCTGCTCCATCCTTCTATTTACGCCTCTCTCAAATTTGGGTAGACAACAAATGTCAAATGTTACAAAACATTAGCTAAATATCCAGGGTGGTATCACAATAAATGAGAGATGCTTCTACCGTCTCACCACACTAATACATCAAACAGAAGTCCTCACCATTGACCATTGTCTCAAATTGTTCAGAGTGTGGCCTCTAAGACCCAAGGTCAGTGTCCCCCTTCCTGTGTTAGGTTACTTCACTAAGAATCCTAAACTAATGCACATTTAGAACATCAAAAAGAAATAATCCCACAAACCACCTGTCCACCCCAACAAGACAGAAGAGATAATAGAGCTAAAGTAATACTAACCTGGTGGCCAAGATGACCATTCCTCATGAAGGTTTTTCTCCCACTTTGATTCAGAGCCAAGGCTTGCTTCTGCTTGTGCCAACAATAGTGAGATAAAAGGCACTGGAATTGGAGTAGCATCTTTAGCTTTCTTTAGACTTCTAATTGCATGTGACAGAAACTTTGAATCACAATGCTGCCTGGCAAGCTCCATACAAATAGCACCTGAATTCATTAAAAATAAAAAAAATAAATAAAAAAAAAAAAACAAAAAAAAAAACTCCCCTTATAACCTATCAGAGAAAAATGTAAATGAATGCATTAAGAAAAAGGGATACTAGACCCCCAAAGCACAGTTGTAAATTTGGAGATCCAGTGTTTTTTTTTTAAGTAGTTATAATTGCCCTCTACAACAAATTTCTTAGCCACAGTTCCAGCTTTATTTAAATCACATAAATGCTGGCTAGGTTACTCCTTGTGTGTTTGATCTTCTTTATGTTTCTCTTTTACTGACAAATGAGACTAATGCCACTAACATTTGCCTCAACAAGTTCTGCTGTTCCAAATTTTAAAAAAGCCAACATCTCATTTCTATGCATCAGCGTCACAGAAGCTAAACAAGATAGACAGTTCAAATGAATTCAATGGACAAATTTTAAATTAAAAATAGAAACCAACACCTAAATTCTAAGCATCAGCTTCAAAGAACCTAAACAAAACGGAGAATTTATTAAATTTTGAAGACCAATATATATGTGTGTGGGTGTGTGGGTGTGTGTGTAAAGGTCAGAATTATATGTTGTAGGATGATACCATGACAAAGCAGTAAGCAGCTCTCGTCACAGGCTAACGAGCAAGCTTGTGAAAGATATTCTTCTGCTCCTGTGAAATCTCCTATCCAAACTGCACTTAGACCTTGCACTAAGCTGAATATAGCTAGCCAGACATTCCATGAAGTATTTACATCTTTGGAGCACTCCTCAAATCTTAACGCTAACACAGTGGAATCTGCCTGTAGTTTGTACTGAGATTCAAGAAACTTAAGGCAGATCCAACCAATATGGCAACCATTTTTAAGCTCCAAGCATTTTAGATATTCTTCAGACAATTTAACAGGATTATCTCCCACAGCATATGCACGGCATAGAAGTAAGTGGGCAAAGAAGATATAGCGATCGGGTATGGATAGCTCTGAAGCACTTGTAGCATTCTTTATGCAGTTAAAATAATTCCCACATTGCAAACTGACCTCAGCTGCACTAAGTAAGAGCTGGAACTTCTGATACTGAAAAGAAGGGTCCTTTCTTGAATACAGTTCATTAGAAAGGGCAACACCTATTAGCCGATCAAGCACAACACATAGATAGTGAGGATATCTCTCCTTGCGAGCCCTCTGAAAATAGTTAGCTATGAGCAAGTACCGTGTAGTTTGGTTCCATGGCTCTTGATGCAAATGCCTGTTAAATTAGGAAGTAGAATTAAATGATGCATTAATGAAAATAAAAGATGATAGTCTATCAACTATCCATGGCAAAAAAGGATTCAATGATAATCACTGATAAACATCAAAATTCATCAATCATCAGACAAGCAGTTGGAAACAAAAGAATCATTATACAAATGAAATTCTCAAGATGCAAGGAATTAAAGCAATGTACTTCTGTAACAGCTGCATAGTGTAACATCCAGATGTAGATTTCCCTCTGCAGGTGGTCAGTGATGTTTTGCAGCATTGGAAGGCATGGCAAGCTACTCCCTCTGCACCAAAAATCTCAAGTGCAGATTTTTTATCATCTTCATTCGGATGGTCAGAAGGGTTCACGATTATGCATCTAGTTGAAGCATGAAAATCTTTCCATTGCTTGCTTAATAACAAAAGATAACCAAGAAGATTCCTGTTGACAGTAAGACAAATCTGAGAATAGAATTGGAAGATGAGACTAAGAAGCATTATAAAAGTCCGTTTTAGAAGGAATATGACACTGTAGCCTTGAGAAGATATCTGAAGTTTCTGAAAATTTCAATAACAAAAAAAAAAAAAAAAAACAAAATGATAAAGTTGTCCCAATCTTCAAAAGTGCAAATATGTGAGCTTGAAAATTACAATTGAGAGCCACTGCCAACTAATCAGCTATTTTGAATTACTCATGACCATCTGAAATATTATGTATATGATCAAATCAAAGAAAAGTGTGTATATTTGAATGGGTGGATACAGTCACAATGTTTAGAGAAGAAGAAAAAAAAAAAAAAAAAAAAACCCTTCTGTATAACTATCGTTAGTGAGTGAGTTCTGAAAAAAAAAATTGATTACCAGCTTTTAAGAAACTTGTACTATGTGGCAAGAAAGTGAAATAATTGTTAATAACTTCAACTCAGAATATAGATAAACCAAAGCAACTCCCACCCCAACACAGATGGTCTGCAATGCACAACTGACCGACATAACAAGAAGCAGTCATTACAATTACCTTATCAAGTGACTATTGGGAGACATGTGAAGTGATTTTTTCAAGTACCCAAGTCCCTTCTTAAACCCAAGGCAACCTTTAGATCCATGTTTCAACTGCAACATGGAAAATAATAATAATAAGGGTCTCTAATAATAATAATAATAAGAAGAAGAAGAAGAAGAATAACAACAACAACATTCTTATAAAGCTAGCAAACCCAGATAAAATTAGACATTTCGGCCTAGTTCAATACGAAAACTTACTAGTTCACCCAGTGCCACTAGAAAATCCATTGCAGCAGACCCTTCAGTTGAAGCAATAAGGTTGCGAGCACTTGAAATAACTGAATCAAGCTGATTCTTATGATCTAATGCATGAATAGCAGATGCTACGAGAATAACTTTTGAAGTCTGTGATAATCCCTTGGGGAGTTTCAATAAGTTTAAAATGGCAGCATCCTGACCCGAAATCTGATATTGCAATCTACAGATGAAACTAACAGATGTGGACACCAATGACTGATCCATAGACGAAACATTTGTGGCAAGTTTTCTTGCCACTGATAAAGCCAGATTATTTTTTCCAAGTTTCCATAAGCACAGTGCATAAATCTGCAAACCTTCTAGATCAAGAAGACCTGGTGCATCATAAGGAAATATAATCTCAAAGTTGCAGACATTTTGGTCCAGAAACTACGACTATAAATTTATAATCAGTTAGAATAGAGAAAGAATAACAAATTTAAACAGCATTAAACACTCTGGAATTTATGCCCAAACTCCTGGTATTGAAACTTAAAAAAGTTTCTGCTTCGTGTGCAATCAGTGCATTCGAAACACAACAGCAAGTACTCATTCAGGTCATTTCTTTTCCCCTCTACCAACAAAAAAAAATACAAAATTTTATAAGGAGATAAATGCCATAACAGTAAAAACTAACCTCTTTTGTCCAAATATTCACACTCATCAACAGCATCATTAGCATTCCCAGCCTGTATTGAGTAAAATATTCAAACCAGTGAAATCACAAACTTAGTTATGGGGCATCAAGTACACTGTTCTTGACCTTCCAGACCAACCAACAAAAGTATAGTAAGCATATTACCCTACAAAGTGATCTGGCTAGGTTAGATGATATACGGTTGAGATAGGTCTTTGATTCTTTTTCATCAAATATGCCAGCTGCATAGCGGGCTAGTCTATATGATGCAATAGCACTTTGATAATCATGTCTTGCCTCACAAACTAGCCCTTTCAAGTTATGAGATTCAGGATAACACGGGGCACGGTGCAATGCTTGCTGGATGGCTCCAAATACCTGGTATAACAATTTCAAATAATCATTTCTTATTTGTTTATTTGATTTTTTGTAATACATTGTAGCTAACAGTTTCCAGCAAGCGTAAACGTTAGAATGTTAGATAATGATTTCATTCTAAGTATATCCTAGTACAGTGTTAGCCCCATACCTCTGAGGACTTCAGGTTACCAGAATGTAGAGCAAGCTTTGTCAGACCAGTTTGAAACTCAGCAAGCTGTGTGAGTAAACAGTTAATCAAGTATATTTCAAAAGAAATTTATGGGTTACTAGTATAGTATGTGCAATAACCGGAAACAGTTGGAACCTGTGATAGGTAACATAAACTCTAGGTAGCATTACAACAAAAATGCATAACCATCACATTGAAACTCTTTCACGAGCAGTAAGCATATGATGATGGCAACATTTGTGGGTTAGTTTTGATATTAACTTTTATGGTTTGTCCTCTTAAATGCATTCTACTAACACAACACTAGGCAGGGAGAGAAACAATTATTACAGGAAAAATCTGAACAGCTCGAAGACAGCACTCATATGCCTCATCTTGTTTCAGATTCCTGAAATAGAAGAACATGCACATTCAAATTTCATTCAAAAGATACATGATCATAGATTATGCTGTTTACCATAAAAAGTACAATTTACCTTGCGTCAGCATCAGCTGACATACCAGCCCATGGCAACGGAAGTGAAGGATCAATACTTCTTGCACGATCAAATGCAAGTTGTGCCAATTGTCGTTCACCCTCTTTCCTATACAGCTGTGCATATCAAAGGATAAAGTACATGAAAATTTTATCAGAAGTGAAGTATCACACACCCTCAAGTTAGGGATGTGAACAAGCAGAGCTCAAACAAACAAGAATCTACTCAAGCAACACTCATTTAACTTTCATGGTGTTCAAGCTTGTCCATTTACAAACTAAGCTCAAGGTAGGTTCTTCATTATTTTCTATTTCATGTTTGTTTGAGTTTGGCTCGTTTACCAAACATGTTTTTGAACAAGCTCAACATCTTTTATGAACAAATGTATTATAAAAAACCATTAACCATGTGTATCAGTCACTCGGTTTCAAAGAAAAATGACAAGTATTTCATTGATAGCACCAACAAATTAAAAACATAAATACATAATCAGAAGTTAAACAAGCAAAAAACAAGTCATTGAAGCACGCCACGTACAGACCCTCGGAGGGCAAAGACATGCGCTATAAGGACATTTTTTACGGTGATTAAGGAGTCAATTAACCAAAAGGAAATAGTGGGGGATTGCGAACCTGAGATTAAGGGCCTAAGGGGGAATATAAAATGGGGTGTTGGATAAGCAATCTTGTGTTTGCTTAAATGAAATAGTGCTGAGAATAAAGGGTCAGATTAAGCATCCAATCCTGCCTAATCTTGGGTAACTAAACAGCAACTAAGTTCTGAAAAGTAACCGGATAAGAAAAATGCCTGGCATCCAATAATAATAAGCCAAGCTATTACCCTTCCCCCCATATCAGTACAGTTTGCATAATAAATCAAAGTATTCTCAGAAAAAACTGGTGTATTACCTTCCCAAGGTATGCCCATGCAACAGCCAGAGACACATCCAACTGCAAGCCTCTTATAAAAGCATGTTGTTTCAACACTGCATGATCTGATAAACATCCCAAAGCCACCCAAAACTCATTATTGCTACCCTCAAGCAATAACCCCCCAAGGCACATCTTCTCAGGCAGAGACCTAATAAAATAAGCAAGTAAGATATAAGTGTAATATTTACACACAACAGATCAATAGATGAAACAAAATGCATACCAAGCATTTAAATTATCTTTATCACTCTCCTCCAAAGTGAAACTGAGCTCTGATGCAATAGCAACATCAGTATACATGTTAGCCTGCCAAGGAGCGATATGTAAAGCCCTTTGATAAGAGCGACAGGCTGTCATAGCAGCCACATAGCAGGTTCTCTTCCAGTAATGGACTGAATTAGCGAAAGCTTTCTCATCAGATTGTAAGCCCCATCCTTCATCAATCCATGGGAAACATTTTGCATACATGAGCTAACAAGGGGGAAAACCAACTTCTTTTAGAACAACCAATGTCAGATATACCAATCAATAAAGTATATAACTAAAGGTAGGCACAAAGAGAACTATAATAGAAGGTTAAAGATAATTTTAGAGCAACTAAGTAAATACATTTACCTGAATGTCTCCATGCAGCTTCCATATGCATGAAATATTACCAGCTAATGATGTACATGCTATAGCCACTTTAGATGCCTCCTGAACTAGATTAAAATTCACATTTTAGAAAATTAGTAACATCTGTTAAGGAAAAAAAAAAAAAAAAAAAAAAAAAAAAAGAGGCACCCTTGTGTCTCTGAGAAGCACGTATGACCAACCTCTAATAATGAAGCTCCCCATCTAAATGCGCCTGAACTTACGCACTCCTTTGCCAAACAAAAAAGCGCAGACGCAAGGCCATAATGTGCAGATACATTTAGAGGTGAGATTAGTAAAGCTTGACGGAACTGCTCAACTCCCTACGTTCAGAAGTAAATTTATAAGAGTAACAACAGCAATAACAGGAAACAGAAAAAAGTTAGAAGCTGAGCATTTTGTGTAAGCAAAGGGAAAAGAAATAAATTATATAGGGCAGGCAAGCAAGCAATGCTATGGTAAAACCAAACTAATGAACAAGTTCAAGGATTTTAAACATATTTTAATCGAAAGTCTAAATCTAGACTACTAAAAGTCTAAATCTAAACAATACAACTTTTTTTTTTTGCAACCGTGCATATTCCTGAAAATGATAAAGACAGTTAAGTTGTTAAGATGCTTCTGAAAGATGAATTACAAAAAGCAAATCACAACTGGCCAAATAGATAATGAGCTCAATGATTTAGTGCAACAAACAGGTAGAAATTCCAAGATTAGTGTTAATCTCAATCCAACATCCAAACCCACACAGAGGTTCATTCCAAGAGTGCTCACAATATGTGCACCAAAGTAAAAAAGTCAAGCAAACAAAAGGTACAACAAAAATTCTTACTCCAAAAAATGCCAGAGATAGAGAATTTTACCTTCCTAAAGCTGCCAAGTATCAAAAATATATTCCCACTTTCAACCAATGCAAAAACTCTTGATTCATCTAACTCAATAGCTCGTCCATATGACTATTGCAATAAGATTAAGCAAACAATATTAGAAATGCCAATCTCTCAAAAAAGATAAGGATCCATAAATATGAAGTTACATCAATCTTCAAATGATTGGAGTACATACTGATAGGTTTTCAACATTTTTCACGTTCAAATTATACTATAGTATTACACACTTGGTAAAAGACACAATTAAATAATAATTACCTTAACAGCAGCAGTGAACATACCCATCTGCTGGTAGGAAAGACCAAGGGCCTGAAAAGGGAACAGGCAGCAATAACACATCGTCAATGAGTAGAATTAGAAAACACCAGAAGAAAGGGAGAGAGGGAAAGGAAAGAATAAATGACCTCCCACAAATCAGCACATGTGGGATAGCCTCGGATAGCATGCTGAAGACTTGGTATTGCTTCAGTCCATTTTTTTTGATGGACCTGCAACAATACAAGCAGTAAAGAGAATGGAATTCGTTCAGTCAGGGAGGCAGACAACCATAGAATTAATATTCACCAGAAGGTAACCCAATCTGCGGAAAGCCCAAAAGGCACGGGGTGACTTCTCCGTGGCTTCTCGGCAGACAGCTATCCCCAAGTTCTCCTTTCCACTTTCCTCCAGTAGTTCACACATTGCTTCCTGCATTCATATGAGGTTTGTTCATGAATTTCAAAGATTTTTTCAAAATATTAATAAATAGGAGTTATGGAATATTAAAATTTACCCCAGCATCAGAATCATCAGGGTTGAGAGAAATGGCTCGCTGGTAGCACTTCAGAGCCCTCTGCGGGTCACATGAGAAGTTGGCATAATAATGAGCCAGATACTTAAAGGGATCCCCATTCTGAGGGTTGAGTTTTGCAGATATCAGAAATTGCTCGGCAGCTTTCTCCCTGATCTCTTCACCTTCAGTGCTGCTGGCTGCCTTCTCCCATAGAAGGAAACCCAGATCAAAATGGAGACAAGGATTGTCTGGCTGGGACTCTAGACTTTTCTCAAGCTCTAGCTCCCTCTGTTTTGTAGTACTAACAACTTCTTCTCCTCCACTCTGTGACTTGGAAAAGCATAAATTGAGCTAATAAACAACTAAAACAATAATTAAAAATAATGTGAATGAGGGCATGGGTAGAGGACCATATTCTCTGATTTCTTGGCTTTTCTCCGTTCTGCAACTGAATTACTCTCACCACTGCCAAAAGATAAAAACACCCAAGCCTCAAGTGAGATTTCCCTGAGAGTTAGCTGCCTCCCTACACAATGGGGACCTGGAGTAACCAACTTCGTTAGCTTTTCAAAAATAAAATCAAATCAAATCTAAACATAAAAACAAAAGTGGAATGAGTTGTCCAAGTTCTCAGGAGTCCTTTCCCTGACCCCTGTCCCTGTCAGTAAATACTTAAATACCCCACCAATTCCCTGGGTCAACAATGAACAACGAACGGGAATCCCTGACCGAGGAATTTCAAGGAGCATATCTTAACACCGGAATTTAAGTACAACGCTCGAGAGTTGTTTGAGTTACCAGAAAACCCCGCCCCACCCCCTTCCCCTGCCTAAATAGATTGATTTTGCTTATAATAAAATAAGAATAGGAAGCGAGGAGCTCTAACCGACGATTGAAGCTTCGAATAGGATTGACGACTCCAGCACCCACCGATACCTGCAACGCAGCGTGCGTCTATATTTTGCCTTCGCCTCTCAGACTGCATTCAGGGAAACAAGTCCCACTTTGATTTTTTTTACTTTTTACTTTATCGTAATTGGACTCTTTTCTTCTTTTCCCTTTTTTTTTCTTTAAACGAAGAAATTACTAAAATAGTCTCTCCGATCGTGTTTTTTGTTTTTTTTCAAAATAAAACTTCCATTAATTATTCTCCATCAAAAAATCATTACAAAAGGAAGATAATGTATCAAACAATCAACCACCGGCCAGAAACGGAGTCAGGATTTTTTTTGAATGGGAGCGAAAAAGCAAAAATAAAATGAATTCAAAAATGTTCATCAATAACCTAACACCAAAAATAAATTCCATCATAATGTATCACTGCTGCCTCATCTACCCTTGCAGAGAGAATATTATCATTTCATCTCTTTAAATGCTAAGGAGTACAAAGAAATTAAGAGCATCCACACCACACCTGTGGATTTTTTATGGTTTTTTCATAAGTTAAAATTTGTGCTTGGTTTTTCAACTGATGCGGAGCATGGTTTTTTCTCATGTCTTCCTCTTGCAAGAGCTAAATTTTTGTGGAGTTCACAATTTGAGAAAGGAAAACAATAGGAGAGCAGGCGCCTTGTGTGTTGGTGACAACAAACGCCCGCAAACTGCTAGTTTTTTTCTTTTTTTTTTTTCTTTTTCTTCCTTTTTTGTTATCTTTCCTCGATCTCTCTCCTAGTGTCATTGTCACCTCCAAAATTGTATAAAATTCACCACTGATATAGATGCTCTAAGAATCATATTTGTGAATCTTCGTTTCGAGTTGGCCCATGTTTTTAGACCTTGATTAGGAAAGTAAGAGGGCAATCGAGCCCCAGGTTTGGGGTTAAATGAGGGACTATTATGTGTTTACCGGTAAATTATACCATGGACCAAGGTATATCTTGCATTGTGACTCTTTGCCCAAAAATAATATTCATATTCTGTACTTGCAATTGACACATTATGATATTATGTACTTACAGTTAATCATTTTTGTACATGTAAACAAATTGAATACACATCAAATAGTAATTACATGCACATAACATGATAACTATAGACACCGATAAGATATTTCAACCGCTCGCAATACTATAGATCCACTCAGTATGTATGTCGTATGCTGCGTAGGCCTTGTCTCGAGCAGGTCCGACCTCATTAGGGTCAACTCGACCTGAATGATCGTCGAGAATAGCTGGCATGACTTTTAGGTTAGTTATCGCGCTTGGGACTTAATTGTCAACCTTAGCTTGTAAGGTCGGAAGGACCACCCGAGTCGGTAGCCTTCAACGATTCAAGAAATTAACTTAGACCAATCGCTTCGTCGGGCCACATACTAACAATGCAACGGTCAAGAATGTCAACACACGTGGACTAATTGAGACTGCCCCCTTCAAGGCCAGTGCATGCGAGACGCGTGCCCAGCATGTCGAGTTCCTAGCATGTGTTTCCTCCAACCTAACCTTCTATATAAGACGCATTTTTAATGCCTTGAAGTAGGACTTTTTGAATTTTCTCATTGTTAGTTATGTTGTTTTTATTTTAAATATTTTGAATTCAAGATCAACTATTGTATATTAAGGCTCTGTTTGTCAGAGCTTATAGCTTATTTTGAGATACTAATAAGCTATAAGTTCTGTTTGGTAATGTTTCCAAAATAAGCTCGTAGCTTAAAATAAAAGCTTATTTTGAAACGCTACCTTAGATAGCGTTTTAAAATAAGCTAACATTTTTTCCATCTTTGTCCTTATTATTTTTAAGAAACGACATCATTTACTCTTCCCAATTAAAATCATTTTCTCTTTTCCTTTATCAGCAACTTTCTTCGCAATTATTATTATTATTATTATTATTATTATTATTATTATTATTATATTATTATTATTATTATTATTATTATTATTATTATTATTATTATTATTATTATTATTATTATTATTATGAGATGAAAGAGATTCGCAATAATATTATTACTTAATTATGGGATGTTAGATCATGATTATGCTAACAATTTTATTTCAAAATGTTAATTTTTTTTTAAGATAAAATGTTAAAGTTTAATATGTAAATAAAGTAATTTAAATTTTATGAAGATGTCTTTTTTTTTTGTCTTCTTACATTTATCCGCTTATCACAAAGCTAATTTTACCAAACACTTTCAAAAATAACAGATAGCTTAACAGATCTTCAGTTTTCATCTTTTAGCTTATAGCTTTTCAGCTGTCAGTTCCTTTTAAGCTTTCAGCTACCTTTTCAGCTAAGTCTTGTCAAACATAGCCTAAGAATGGAAAAGTTAGTGTCTTTTTTTTTTTTTTTCCATGTAATTGTATGAGTTGTTGGTTAATTGTATCTTCTACGGACTTTATTGTTTTTACTTTTCTTTGTCCTCATGTATAATAATATAATTATGGTTGTTAATTGTCATTTAATGTGTTGAGTTTTATACTTTTATTTTGTCTAAATCTTGAATTAATGTGTTGAATTTAATGTAAGCATTACTTTAACTTAACAATAAATATAAAATACAAATTGTCAACATTTATTTTAACATTCTATTTACTCAACAACATTAACTTTTTGACTTTTTGTATTAAAACGTTATTTACTGAACAATATCAAATAGTTTGAGTCAAAGAATAAGATTAAATATTTGATTTTATTTTGTGACAGAAAAAAAAAAAACTTGCAATTATTATTCAAAGGTGTACACTATATAAACTCCGCATTGTGACTCATGATAAAATATTGCAATGAGATATATAAATCATCTTAAGATGTTTATAGTTGACCAGCTTAAATCAGTAAGACTAATAGATCGTTCTCTCTACGAATAAAACTTAAAACCTTGTATCAGTGTCCACATGATACACTCTGGATCCTTGATGATTATGTTCGCTAACCCAACTTTTTTTGAAATATTTATTATTCTTTACAAGGTATTATCTCTTCTATATTTTATCAAAAATTTTCAATTCAAAGAATCTAAGCCCCCGTCACTGGGGTTTGAACCCAACTTAATTATACTATCGCGTAAGCGTGGTTATATAAAAGGTTTTATATTATTATATTAATAGCACTTTTACTTTAAAAAAAAATTTTTAAATCATTTTTTATGTGAATAGTCAACGGTCCAGCTCCCCATACTAATCTACTATACAGAGCTCTATATGAAGGGAATTGATGATTTGTAAGGAAAAGTACATTTCCGTATGTACCCAAATAAAAGTAGTACATTTCCGTAATGAGTTGTATGTCTTTATCTTTCTAAATATTGACAATTAATTGTGGAAAATTTTTAGTCTTCTGGAATGCGTAACGTTTGACAATTGCGAATCTTATCCATGATTGTGCAAAGGAAATAGCTAATTGTTGCGTTAAAGTCTATATTTCACACAAATGCATGTAAACTTAGTAATAGATACATATGGAGTTAATATCCAAATGTAAACTTAGAAATAGATACGTGTAGAGTTAATACTCAATTTAATTTTTAATTAATATTCAGTTTAATTTTTGACTATAGTTGTTTATCTAAACGACTCCTGAATTTTTTGTGTTTAATTAAGTCTTAGCACTTTAATGATTTTATTCAATTGATATTATGCTCGAGTTGTCATGTAGGGAGAAATTAAGGGATTCTAACCTAATTAAAATGAAATCAACTCATACTAGAAAAGAAAATTAAAAGAACTAAATTATTAGCAGCAGAGACGAGAAGAGAAGATGGATTAATACAGCATGCAGTTGTAGTTAATTGTATGTACACAGTATGTCGTTTACCCTCAAAAAGTAATTAAAGTTACTCTGCAGAACTCAAGCATTCATGCATTAATTAATACTCGGTAAAACCTAGAAGGCGCTTCCTCTCACCAAACCGTAACTTTTTACATAGTCGGGGGGAGTAATTAACCGCCATGATCACCAAAAACAAAAAATTAAAGAAAATATTTTCAGTCTTCACGAGTATATATATAGATCAGAACTAGTAAAATGGACCCAGTACAGATCCTTCTTGAATAGTCGTCAGCCTGAGTCTGAAAGAACGAACAGCCATCTTAGCCCGCTGGGACGAGTATCTTTTCAGCTTCCTCGCGGGTCTGGAACTCATCGGAACTCCTAGTCCCGATGACGACGACGTCGCACCCTTGCTAATAATTGTCTCACCGCTATGACTGTCATATTGTTGGAGTTGACCGTGATCAGATTGCTGGAAGATCACGGGTGAGATCCTAGATTTACTCGTACTGATCCTCTTGCTCCTGCTTCGGCGGCGGCGATTTATGGTCTGAAGGGCGAGGCTGGCCTTAACCGCGAGAGCGGCCATGTCGGATGCGCTGAGACGATACTGAAGCTTATTGGTGGGGAGAAGGAAATAGATCTGACCGGCTTCGAGCTCATCCTCCTGGTCCATAGGGGGTATGTAATCATCGAAGTAGAGACGGTCGGAGTTGCACATGAAAAAGGACGCGTGATCGAGAGCCGAAGTGGTCGTGGTCGTCGTCGACTCGGAGAAAAGAACTTGAGAGACTTTAACCGGAATAGAGAACTGGCGCAGCTCTCCGGTGGACGAAATGACGTTGGCGGAGTTGTGCTTCTCCATTACTGTGTGACCTTTCGTTGAAGATAAACAACTTCCCATTTAGGATCGATTAATCAGCTGGCAGGGCGGTGATCGAATTAGAGACGCGGATGGATACGGAGATCTATTTGAAGAGGAAAATGAAATAATGTGGGCGAGAGGTGTGGACGCGTATATATATAAAGGAAAGGTAACGGAGTGGTACGTGGAAGAGAGACTTTCGCCTAACCTTCCGGGGGTGGGGTTCACAATGAGTGGGAGAAACGTAACGTAACGTAACGTAAGCGACGCCGTCACTCGCTATAAGGCCTTTTGGTCAGTTTGCTAATACCGTTAGCGCCAACACCAAATGCAAAGAAGGGTCCACATCACGCGGCCATAAGCACTGACGTGTATACAAACTATTTATTTATCTTGCCGTGTCTGCGTCAGCTGCTACTAGGCAAATTCCTTCCTATCTCCGCCGTTGCATGACTGACACCTCTACAAAGCCTAGAAACTTGGACCCCAAGCACGACTAACCCGCCCACTTCCACAGACCGTCACCCTTCAATTCCCATTCCAAGATACCCGCAAAATTTATGTGCTCCAAGAAAATAAACAAACCATTATTTTAATTGTTATTGTTATTTAGTGAACAAAATTTACTCATCTAGCACACTTGTGAAAGATTGCCTCACGTAGGAATATCAATACGAGCTGATCCGTCTCACTATATATTGTAATTTTTTGTGGGTAGATCATCAATCCACTTTGACAACCTTAATCTCACGAATCTTGTGAAACGAGTTAAATTTATGATAGTTGCTTGTTACTTTTTTTTTTTTGAATATTATTGACTCCATTACAAGATAGTATATGTTCTATACTTTTTCTATCTATTGCACCTCAAAGAGTCAAGACCCCACCATCGGGATTGGATCCTGTGATGACCTTCCCTCAAAAGGAGCCATAGAAGTGCCATATGAGCACAAGGTGCTTGACAGTTGCTTGTTACTTATGATAGAAATCATAATACTCTTGTCCACATGAGTAGTTCAAATGGTCACAGAGGTAAAATTTGTCACAAGAGATCAAAGATTGAGTCTCACTAGCGATAGTGTGGGAGCAACTTCTCAAAATGTGAAATTCTTTATGTGCAGTAAGCAAAAGTCTAGGCATCTATCCATTAATTGTGTTACCATGATTTACACCTCAACAAACGGTCGAACCAGGGGTAGAAAAATTTTAATATAAATATTGTAAACTTATTAAAGAAATTGTAATACTTATTATATAAAATTTAATATCAATTTAAATTAAAAATAATTATTTTAACGTTAGTTATGATAGATATTGTAATATTTAATTAACTCAACCAATTCAACTAGCAAATCTTATTACAAATAAAAGTAAACCAAAAAAAAAAAAGGAGCTGGTATAACTCATTTGACATTTATTCATATTTTATTTAGATTAAATTGTGAATTAGTAAGAATTACATCAATTATTTGATCCATTCACCCTCACACATATATAAACTATGTGTAATGTATTCAAATACAAAGAAAATTATGGTGTAATTGTTCAAGCATGTGTGTGAACTTAATTCATGAGTTTTAGTCAACAAACTTAAAAGTTAAATTTGAGTTTGATGTTTAAAAAAAAATCTTATTTGCTTTGAACAAATTAAACAAAAGCAATCGTTTACTTTTTTTTGGTTGGAATATATTTTATATTAAAAATCGATTAATAATTGATATACAAATTTGAAGGTGGGGAATTAATATATGTTGCAACCAGCACGGGATTTGAGCGGCAAAGAAATCGGAAGTCTAGTAGGAAACACCGGCCACCATCGTTGAATATCCATATGTCAACCGACAAATGGTATAAACAGAGAAAAACATGTTTCATTAGGTAGTATAATTAGTTACGTGCAGCAAAATCACATTATTAGTTACAACAAATAGTGTTCCCAACATGTCCAACACATGAATCATCACCCATCTTACCCTGCTCATCTCTGACTTTTAATTACCACATTGAATGTATTGTCAATCCGCCTTCCCACCAGCAGCACAAACACAAATCATGTGTTAGTTAATTAAGATGCCACCCCTACACGGCTACGCAACATTTCTTATTCAGTTATAATTTTTTTTTTTTTTTTTTAAAAAAAAACCCAAAATATCGTTTGATTCTTTTTCAAACATGTCTTCAATGAAAAATATTAAATTCAAAATTTATAAATATAATATATACTCCGTATTGTTCAATGATAAACTCCACGGGGACTTCTGGAATGCTTTAATCTGATTTATGGGATTCTATTATTAAAATTAATATAATTATTTATAGTGGTGAGAATGCATGTGTGCAACTTCACTTCATATCAAATTTTTTGATATTATCTCAAAAGAGTTAATGTCATTTATTGGTTTTCAAGTTTGGTGGTTTCGTTACGTTTAGTCCTAAACTTTTAAATTGATAATCCGTTTTCGTCCAACTTTATAATTTCAATCAGTTGTAGTCATTCCGTTATTTTCAACCGTATAAGCCGTGAAAAATAAGGAAAATCGTCCTTTAAGTTCTACACAGCCCAATTCCGTATATTTCTCTATAAAAATCTCTAATTTTAGCTTTCTTCTTCTTTCTTCCTCCAAGAAATGAATTCCATATCCCTCGACATCATCATCGCCACCAGTTTCCTCCAACTCCACCACCCTACTCATTGCCGTGTGCGTCGCGACTCAACACCCGAACTCTTGTTTCGCTTCCATGTCTCCATTTCAATTCGTGGCGGTTGCGGAAATGGGTTGGGAGAAGGGCACTTAGGTATGTTTGCCATTTTAAGGCATGTTCTTCATGCTATGAGTTGTGATTTGCAGAGATAAAGTGGAGATTTCATGCTATGAGAGGAAACTATGTAGGAATTTCTGAATTTGAAGAATCTACAATTTACGTCTTGAAGGACGTGCACCATTGTTTTTTTAAAAAAAAAAAAATTATTTTATACTTACAATGGAAAAACAACATTAAAGGACACTTTTACCCTTTATTTTCACGGCTCAAACGGAACAAAGTAATAGAAGGATCATGAGTGGTAACAATTTGAAAGTTAAAGAACCACGGGTGGCCATCCAATTTGAAAGTTTAGGACTAAACATGGCAAACCACTATACTTGATCGGATGGGAGGACCCCATATAACATTAAATGTATGTCAAAAATAATAATTGATGGATACCTAACCCGGGGTACCCAGCCGGCATTGCAAGTTAGGATTGGAAGGTGGTCAACCTTAATGGGGATTATTCTCCAATTATTGCGCCTATACAATGGTCGGTAACGAACCCCCTACGCGAGATGAGCACGGTCCGACCTGCACCGACCCCTCCTCACACTCTTCTCGGCCGTCTCACCTACCGAACTCGTTTAACTGACGTATATGCTGGTGCCCCAGCAATTAATCACTGCATGCCCGACCTGTTTAGGTCGGGACCGTCCTACCATCATGGGTCCGACAACAAGACACCTTACCCTCAGAAACATCAAGGCACGTGCACAAGCGTCATTTGGCCCCACTCAAAGCCTGTGCATGGGTTCCATGTGCCCTCTATGATGTTAGACTGGAAATTGTTCCCTCCTCTTAACTATAAATACCGCATTTATTATTGAGGCGAGGACTTTTTGGCTATTTCTACACACTAATGGTTGGTTCGGGAACCTTTGATTCACTGTTAAGTATTCTGAACTTCATCACTTAAATCTACAAACAGACAAGGCAGAGGGATTGGACCTAGAACCGACCCTAGTACCGTATCTTGTAGTTAATACCGATTGTATTAGTAAAGAAATCCAAGACTCAATTGACATCCCGACTCTAAATTGGCATCCCAGCATCTCATGCTTAGTAAAGAAGTCCAAGACTCAACTTGGAATATAATATTGTCTAAGTTAAATTTGTAAACCTTTTCATTTTCTTTCTTTGAGCTAGCCGCCTATATATAAATATCTTCAGATGACACATTGACACATTGTAAAGGGTTGAATTTCTACTTTCTAAAAATAAAATTATTATACCATTGTTTTCGTGTTAATTACGGTAATCGTGAAACTAACAATATTTAAATATTTTACATAATGCAAAGCTTTACCCAAAATGTAATATGTCACAATTGTGTCCAAATTCATGCTACAATCAAAACCCATTTGAATTCTCGTGAATGAAATCAGCCAACCCGATCAAAAACTTTGGCTGACCACAAACTCCAAACATTATATGCACCAATGCACCATTCGGCCAAAGCAAGTAAATTAATTAATTGGGAGAAGCAGTAAATTAATTAATCTATCACAACTGAATTTCTTATACTAGTATTTACCCAAATGGTACTATTGTACTCCAATTGGCAAATTATATTATGCACCGCGCGTCTGCTTTTTTAAATGAAAATAAACAGTGTTTGTTTCCGCCGTTTCGCACCCTTTTACAAAAAGTAACTCTGTTATTCAGTGTCATTTTGTATACACTGCAGTTTCAGTTCAACACAACTACAGTTTCATTTCAATATAACTATAGTTTCATTCGATATTTATAGACTCAAATATGTGAAAATGTTATTTAATTTTATTTTATATACACTATTCGTAGGGAATATCCCGACCGACCTAAGCTTCACCACGACCGACTTGCCTTTGTCTTTGTCTTTTTGTCTTTGCAGGTAGCAGGTCGGGCTTTTTATGAAGAACCCGGTCGGGAAGCGACCGGGAATTGCCCGAGCGTTAGTGTCGACCACCGAGTGGTAGCCCTTTAGCGGGAGAGCTGACAAAGGACACGTGGCGGCTCTTTAAGACGACAGGCAGGGTACCCGGGAGGATGACACGTGGTGGCTACGTGGAGAACATGCCGAACGGCTGGATTCTTGTCTCCGGCGCAGCGGCTATAAATGCCCACAGTAGCTACAGGGTAGAGGACTTTTGGACGATCGATAGGTTGTTACTAGAGAATCCCGACCGCAGTCAGTCGGCACTCAGAGCAACCAAGTCTTTTACTTGCTTTAATTGGTCTCGGGTTTATTTTATATTGCTTACGTGGAATTAGCAGTATCATTTTGGCGCCGTCTGTGGGGACCCGTGCGAGAAAGCAACGTCTTGACGAGCACCCGCTC